TTTTACCTTTAGACTGAATACCAAAGTCTTTTTGTGCCTGTCAGGTAAAACCTAAACCTGCAGCAGTTTGTATTAAATAATCATTCAAATTTAAATTGTACTAAAACACAAGGTGACCATTTTGTTCACGTGTGCAGTTTGAACCATGGGATTGTGGGTAAAATCAGAGACTGGTTTCAGGAGCATGGTTAAACACATGGATCCAGTGAGTTTCGTCTTTTTAAAGTTGAATTTTCCACCAAACGTTGTTTTTAATTGCCGTGTTTATTCCTGCTGTCACATCTCTCTCTTCCGCTGGTTTCCAGGTCCAGACTTTTCTCTGGGTGTGAACTGGAGAAGTTCACGTCGCTACGTTTTAATTTGCAATTTTTTCAGCAGCAACTTTTTTTTTATGTTTTTTTTTTCTCTTCTTTTATAAAAATTGATATTTAGCACACCTCTCAGTTTGGTTTCCAAGTTATCAACAACGACAACAACAAACACTTTTAATTAAACAGAAGTTCACAAAGTGCCTGGTTTCTCTCTGCAGCCTAAAATAAAATGGACCTCAATCATCGAGACGTTGACGGGTGGGATCCTCATGATGTGGCACTCATCGTATCACATCAGGTCCATGGGTTCGTCACTCACATCTCCTCCATTCTTTCACTCCACAGGTTTATATTAAAGAGAAACTATCTGTTGTTGTTTACCTGCATTGCTTTTTCATCTTAGAAATAAAACGCCGTACACTTAGGAAGAATAAAACACTTATTGATGCAGTTTTAATTTTATTTACATCTACAGTGGTTTAAAACATCATTTTTGCTGGTTGCTGTTAGAAAGCTGGCCATCCTGTGGGTGTGTGTGTATATGTGTGTACATTTGTTTGTCTGTTAGCAAAATATTTCTTGAATGCCAGGACAGGTTTTAATGAAACTGTCAGAAAGAAACCATTGGATAGCTATCTGCAACTGATTAACCTTTGAAGTCAAACCAATTCAAGATGGCTGCCAGAGCCATCTGACTTTGTAAAACATAAAAATGGCAACAAATCAGTGAGTTTTGCAGATATTGAGCTAAAACTCGGCATGGCAGCAGCTGAAGAGTCTCCAACACATACTTCAAGCAACAACAAATTCTTGAGTTCTGTGTTTGAATCGCAGGCTTTGTCCTTTGGCGTCAACCCTGTTTGTCTGTTAGCAAAATATCTTATTAATTACTGAAAGGATTTCATTGAAGCTAATCACTGGATGTACATCTTTAAATAATTAACTTTTAAAGTCAATCCCATTCAAGATGGCCGACAGAGTTAATCAACGTGTCAAATATAAAAAATGAATTATGTGAAATCAGGGGGTGGAGGGATTCTGGTTCGGTGGCCTCAGGATTCCACCTCTGCTCTTTGCAGATGATGTGGTCCTGTTGGCGTTGTCGTGCCGTGATCTTCAGCTTTAACTGGAGCTGTTCGCAGCCGAGTGTGAAGCAGCTGGGCTGAGAATCAGCACCTCCACATCTGAGGTCACGGTCCTCAGTTGGAAGAGGGCGGATTGTTCTCTTCAGGTCGAGGGTGAGGTTCTGTCTCAAGTGGAGGAGTTCAAGTATCTCAGGGCTTTGTTCACGAGTGAGGGAAGAAAGGAGCCTGAGATTGACAAACAGATTGGTTCAGCGTCTGCAATATTGTGGATTCTGTGCCGGTCCGTTGTGGTGAAGAGGGAGCTGAGCTGTTAAACAAAGCTCTCTGTTTACCAGTCAGTCTATGTTCCTACCCTCACCTATGGTCACGACCTCTGGATGGGGACTGAAAGAATGAGATTGCAGATACAGGAGGTCAAAATGAGTTTCGTCTGCATAGTAGCTAGAATCTCTTTTGGAGACAAGGTGAGAAGTTCAGTTATCTGGTTGAGACTCGGAGTAGACCCGCTGCTCCTCCACACCGAGAGCCAGTCGAGGTGGTTCAGGCATCTGGTAAGGATGCTCCCTGGTCACCTCCCTAGGGAGGTGCTTCGGACATGTTTGACTGAGAAGAGACCCTGGGGAAGACAAAGGACCCTCTGGAGACTAGTCTCTCAGTTGGCCTGGGAACACTTAGAGGTCCTCAAGGCTGCGAGGAGAGATGTCTGGGCCTCCCTGCCAATGTAGACCCGACTCCGAAACAAGTGGAAGATAATGGATGAAAAAACGTTGTCGATTTTACAAATATTGAGCTAAGTCTAGGTGTGGTAGTAGCTGAGATGCCTTCCCATCACAAAGTGTGAGCACCAACAGATCTTTGCTTAAAACTGTCATGCAAGGAGGGAAATAAGAACTCCTCCAAGGAATTCTATATTCATTTTATTTCTGTGGTTCTTCTATGTTGCTTGAAAGATCTGCACGTGTGAAGGAAGTGGATGATGTTTTGTCTCTGACCTACAGAAAATGAGAGGACTGTAAACTGAGCAGAGTGATTGTGCTCAGACTGAATGTGGAGCGTCAGACTGTTGGCCGAGCAGCAGAGTCTGAGCTGAACCAGAGAACTGATCCCTAACGTGCTCACGTCAGTCCTTTTTTTAGACCTTCACAGCAAACTCTGTCAAAGAGAAAATATTTTACTTGACAACATTCATCTGACGAGTCTGGGAACTACTTGTCATTAGGACTATTTTAAGTTATAAATTGTTTTACACGTGTTTTACTAAATCCAGTAATGCTCAGTGTAGTCAGGTCATCTGGACAGTTTCTTTTTTGTAGAAAGACGTTTCGCCCTCTATCCCGAGGGCTTCATCAGTCTGAGGAGTGTTTTACTAAAGGAAACATTACAAACACTTATTCGTTGTAGATTATCGACCAGTGCATGACCCTGACAGAGTTTTAAAGTGGGGAAAAAAAAAGGGAAATGATTGTGCTTTGTCAATAAAATTGCAAAACAGTGCTTTGTTATTTTATTTCTTCCATTATCATTACCAAACCTGAGTCTTGTGGTCATGTTATCTTTGTAGCATTTATATATCAAAACATAATTGCTACAAACATTAATCATAATTCATAAAATATTGAAGCTGGGATCATTTGTCTGCATGTGTGCTTCAAGTCTGATCAGACCTCTGTTTGTAATCTGGAGAGTTAAGAGGAAAGGAGAACATCTTTTCTGCGCTGTTTCATTTTATTTACCCTTTATCAGGAAGTTCCCATAATGAGACAAATCATCTCTCCTTCCAGGGAGCCCTGGTCAAGATGGCAGCATAAATACAAACCGAGTCTCTGTGCAAGAGATCAGTAAAAACAAGTTAGCATAAAATACAAACGTGTTTTTAAAGCCAACATTACACAGTTTGAAAAGGTTTTGGCAGGAATAGGTATGTGACAATTGGTGCAGTGTCTGCAGTATTGCGGATTTTGTGCTGGTCCGTTGTGGTGAAGAGGGAGCTGAGCTGTAAGGTGAAGCTCACTGTTTACCGGTCCATCTACGGTCCTACCATCACCTATGATCATGAACTCTGGATGGTGACCGAAAGAAAGAGATTGTATATAGAGGTGGTTTAAATGAGTTTCCTCCACAGAGTAGCAGGACTCTCCCTTAGAGATGTTTAGTTATCAGGAGATACTCGGAGTAGAATCGCTGCTCCTCCACAACGAGAGGAGCCAGATGAGGTGGTTCATCTGGTAAGGATGCTCCCATGGCGCCTCCTTAGGGAGGTGCTTCGGGCATGTCCGACTGGGAGGAGACCCCGGGGAAGACCCAGGACACACTAGATGTCTCTCGGCTGGCCTGGGAACGCCTTGTAGTCCTCCCAGAAGAGCTGGAAGAGGTGGCTGTGGAAAGAGATGTCTGGAACTCCGTGCTCAAGCTGCTGCCCTCAAGACCTGACTTTGGAACAAGTGAAAGATGATGGATGGATGGATGGATGGATGGATGGATGGATGAATGGATGGATGGATGGATGGATGGATGGATGGATGGATGGATGGATGGATGGATGGATGGATGTGTGACAAACATCACAGCACACTTTCCCAGCCTTGTAACACAACAAGTACTCAGCCTGCCAGCTGGCGGTCATAATGTTATGGCCTATCTGTGTATACCCCACACTGTTCTAGATGTGATTTTATGCGTAAAGCCTTTCATGTAGAATAAAAAGGATCGGCGTACCTGACGCAGACAGGGGAGACGAGGCGCTGCCACACGAGAACAGGCATTAATATTCCAGCACTGAGATAAATATTTCACTGTTTTAATGAGATGTGAGAAAAGATATGTGCAGATGAAGGGGGGTGAGTTAAACATGAGCCCCCGTATAAATAATGAGTGCAGAGATGAGAGAAGAACAAGAAGCTGGCCTTTTTATGTGTTGACATGCAGAGAAAAGGTGCATCGCTGACAAAAGGCAGGCTTTACGTTAACTTTTGATATTATTCTCTAATTTCTTTTTTGTTTATTTCAATTTAAAAGCCTCCGTAAGGACTTAACCTTTTATGGCGAGGCACCTCAGCTATTCTTAATCTCTTTCTTGGCACTGACGCTCCCAGGACTGCGCACACATTACTAACAAGAGACGCAGACAGGGGAGGCTGTGTTGTGCATATCATAAATATTTAGCAAAATTGAAGGCCACTGCAGCCGTTCACGTGCGCACACAGTTTTGCTTCACAGAAAGAAAAAGCACGGATGAACGCATGACACAGACATGCTGAAAGTCTGTTAATAAAACTTGTTGCTTCACAGAAAATTTGAATACAAATTGATGAAAAGGCCGCACTTTAAATTGCCGACACGCACAAACACACCTGATCACATGTTCAGTTTACTGAGATGACGCATGTTCGTCGGTTTAAAGAAACTACTTGAACGGTTTATTTTCACAGTTGAAGACTGAATATAAATTAGCTGCACATCTTAGAAAGTGCATTTGAAGTCAGCTTTGGTTTTAAAAATGTCCCTTCTGGATGTCCAGTCATCAGATTATCCAGGGATGTCCAGAACTTGTCCTCAAAGGCCACGGACCTGCATGCTTCAGATGGACAGTGGTCCTCCAGGACCAGGGTTGGACACCGCGGGTTGACGTTTTCTCTCATGCACCTTTGTCTTGTCTCGCCGCGTCTTCCAGTTCCTCCCCGTCTTCATACTCGTAGTCCAACGGCGTGCTTTCATACTCCAGCTCCTCTCCCTCAAACTCGAACCCTTCTCCCTCACAGATCAGCTCCTCCGTCTCATATTCCACCATCTCTTCATCATATTCCAGCTCAGCTCCTTCATATTCCATCACTGACTGCTCCAGGAAGCCTTCCTCCTCCTCCTCTTCTGCCTCCTCCTTGTCCTTCACCTCTTCACTCCTAACGTCTGAATCTTCAGTGGTCGCCACAGCTTCATCTGCTGCTGGTTTGGAGTTTGCGCTGCTGTTCTTGAGGATGCCATGAATCACTGGCTCCTCCTCAGCCAAGGCCAGCTCCTCTGCTGCTTGCTCAGCGGCCTTCCGTCGCCTCTCCTTCCTGGCCTCGCGTATCTCCAAGAACTCAGCAGCGCCCTCGCCAACCAGAAACACCTCTTGGCCCACCTTAGGAGGCTGACTGATCGGATTGTGGTCGTAGGAAAACAGGCGGAGGGTCTTGAGACGCTTCAGACTGGGAAGCTCAGACATTTTGTTTTTGTCCAGGTCTAAGATCTCCAAAGCCTCCATGCGGAGCAGGACTTTGGGAAAGGTGTCAAAGCGGTTTCCGTACAACCATAACCCCCTGAGAGTCTCCATGCGGCAAATGTCTTGAGGCAGCGTTTTCAGCCGGTTGTCCCCCATCTGCAGGGACTTCAGGTGAGGCAGGTCGTAGAGCTCACGGGGGAAGCTCATGAAGAAGTTGCTCTCGATCCACAAGCCCCTCAGACTCTGCAGGTTCCTGAACTCGGACGGGAGGCTCATCAGTCTGTTGCTGCCCAGGTAGAGACGGGTGAGGCCGGTGAGCTGACAGATGGCCAAGGGAACGTCTTCCAGCTTGTTGAAGTCCAGGGCGAGCGTCCGCAGGCCCTGAAGCTGCGACATGCTGTCGGGCAGCGTGCGCAGGCTGTTCGCGCAAACATAAAGCTTCTCCAGGTGCAGCAGTTTGCAAACACGCTGAGGCAGCCTCTTAAATTTACGATAACTCAAATCCAAGACGGGATCTCCGCTCTCCAACATCTCCTCCACCCCCAGTGGAAGCTCTACCTCCACCTCTTCCTCTTCCTTGTTCCTTCTTGAGCCAGCCTCATCCTCTTCGCCATCCTTCGTCCCCTCCTGCTCCTCGTCCCCCTCGTCCTTCATGGAAGAGTTGCCCATGTCGTGCTGAGTGGCCCCTGACTCCAACCTGAGTCAGGGCAGAGTCATTTGACGAGGCAGTGTCTGTGACAAGTTGGCCATCAGGCTGGAAGCTGCTGCGAACAGCGGCATCGTCCACACCAATCAACACTCACGCCGACACGATAACTGCCTTTGTTGCTTCGTCTGGAAAAATAATCATCTTCAGCAGACGAAGGAACAATAGTAACGATAGCTTTAGATGCAGTGAAAACAGTGGAAATGTTGCTGCAGGTCACGTAAAGCAGCTGTTATTGAACTCTCACCCTCCTCACTTCTTTCCTCAGGGCTTTTCAGAGAAACATAACTGGCAGCTTTGAGCTCTCCTGATCCAATCTGCAAAGAAGTTTAAAAAAACAAAACACTTTCGGACACTAAAGAGTCATGTACTGCTCCTCTTCCTTGCAGCCTCTGGTGGTTAAACTCAAAGTTGGTGTGCAGTTCAGTGATCCGGCCGGTGGTAAAGGAAGAGAACAGAGTAAATTCAAGTCCGTCCACTTGTTAAAACAGCTGCTGTCCATGAAAAGCTCAAGTCTGTTGCAGTTAAAAAGAACCAGCATGTTGAAATACTGCAGCTGACTCCTCTCTGCTCCTGGTGTGAGCTGCTGAGCTCCATCTGTGAGGAGGTTTCCACGCTGCCTCCCTCCCTGCCTCTGTAACCGGAACAGGGGGCATCCACGTCACATGGTCACCGTGTGTGTGTGTGTGTGTGTGTGTGTGTGTGTGTGTGTGTGTGTGTGTTTGTGTGTGTGTGTGAGTCAGATACAACATGCAGTCTTCTTCAAGGCGACTTTTAAAAACTTTTTCAGGCACTATGCTGTTTAAAACCTTTCCTTTTCTGTGTGTTTTTAATTTTATCATGTGTGCATTTATCAGAGTTCTTTACAATAAAATCTACTATTTTGTAATTTCATAACAGTTGCAAAACAGTTGTGTAAATCAATGTAATACTGTTAGTCATCAGAACTTTTTTCGTTAACATTAAAGGTAAAAACAGAATGGAAAAAATGTATCCGGATCAAGATTCTCTTTGTCACATGAGATGAAGTGTCAGAGAAATGTATTTAGCATCAAGTGTTGTTTTTTTTTTTCTTTTTTTTTTCTGTTAATATGTTGCAAATTGTTGCTTTTAAAATATAAAGTTAAAGAAATAGAATATTTTTATTCCATCGTCAACTTCTTATTTGTGGAGGACAGCAACTTCAACGATCAACATCAAAGATCATGCTCAATAATCCACGTAAAGGAATCCAACAATGTTCATGCAGGTCATCTGGACAGTTCCTTGTTTTGTTGTTGAGAGACGTTTCGCCCTCCATCCGAAGGGCTTCATCAATCTGAGAAGTCAAAGTTCTCAGAAAACAGTTTGTGACTCCTCACATTGATGAAGCCCTTTGGATGGAGGGTAAAACATCTCTCAACAACAAAAAAATAAAAAGGAACTGTCCAGACGACCTGACCGCACATTGTTCAACGATCAACAGCTCCAGGAGGGAACCTCAGACATCTCTTGCCCCCACAACACTCCAGCTTTTCCTGGGGTATCCCAGACCAGAGAGGACACCAGATTGGACCAACATCCTCATACTGGAGACCCTGCTCCATTTTGCCATCATGCCTGAAAAAGACTTTCAGAAATTTGACCTGCTCCACTTGTGTCAAAGTCCCCTTCTGAAAAACCACCAAATTAACATGGTTGGTGGAGTTTGAGCACCCCCCATGATCCTTTTCACCATCTATAAAGGGGTGTCCAAACATTTTCCTAGGTGTGCCAGAACTGGCTCATATGTGTCAAACTCAAGGCCCGGGGGCCTGGTTGACATCTTATCTGGCCCTCAAGCTGAAATGTGAAATATTTCTATCTCTTGAAAATTTTCAGTAATCTTTGATTATGATGTCGAAAGCACAACAGAGAACATCAAACGAGACCAATCAAACTCTTGTTGAGGAACCTGTGACCAAGAAAAGATGTTGGAGTCTGACTTGAGTTAACGTAGATTCTGAAACTGACCCTTAGTTTGAAAAAGGTTTTAATTTTGGCCCCTTTTTGTAAGTGAGTTTGACACCCCTGCACGAGATGAAAGGACTCGAGGGCCAGAAAAATCTGAATTTAAGAAAGAACAAAAACATTTTTAAGTGTGATTTTTTCCCCTCCTCATTTAACATCTTGAATATTTTGGAGACAGATTACCATATTGTTCAGACTATAAGGCACACCAGATTATAAAGCACACCAGATTATAAAACACACCAGATTATAGGGCACTTGTTAAAAAAAAAATCTCAATTTGTACACATCCATTATGATTGTCTATTACTGTCTTTGTTGTCTACTGTTGTCATCACTCTTTGTTAAAATCAGGTCTCTCTTGTAAATGAGTCCCTGAGGCTCAATGGGATGAACCTGTATAAATAAAGGTTGAATGAATGAATGAAAAATCTGGATAACCTCTCAAGCCTGTGGATCAAATGATACCATTCTTTAATTGCAGTCGAGGGCCACACAAAATCACGCCAAGGGCCGCAAATGTTCCATGGGCCATACTTTGGACACCACTGATCTAGAGCATCAACCTCTGTTTGGGTCTCCAATGAGAAAATGACCTCAAAGGAGGACTTAAAAATGTTGACCACATAATGGAGGCAACCTCACCTGGAACTGAATAATCAGGGGATCCTCCAGAGCCAGCCCTGGGGGGTTGTCTGTGAGAGATTTGTGGTAGAGCCGTGGCTCCTGGGGATCTGCCAGAGAAAGCTAAAAACTACAGGAAACTGCTTCCATGTGGGCCCACCACCTGCGTGGAGCTCTGTCATGGCTGGGTGCAGTTTCAATTGAGTGGCAGGTGAGGGTGGGGCACTGACTGCTAATTACTGGCATTAGAAGCTATTTCTATGAGTTGCCACAAAAATCAAAAGTCTGCAAATACAGTAAGCACTCATTTTGAAAGCAGTTTTTTTTTTTTTTTTTAAGATCCTTCAACGATAAAATGAACTTTTTGGTTGCACTGAAAGAAAAGGACAGAAAAGGCTGAATAATTTCAGGAGGAAAAACTCACCGTGTTTGTTTACCCTCTATCCAAGAACTGAACTAGAAGCGTTTTTTTTTTTTTTTACCAAAATAGTTTTGAACTGAAAGACTTTTCCAAAACCATCTGTGCACTGAAACACTGGGCTTCTGCTGTGTGACACTGGGTTTTATTAGTTTTGTCACCTTCAAACGTAATTTATGTATTTACTTTGTACACGTATAGGTTTAATTTAAAGTAGAAACCTAAAATGATATATGCTGTTGAAATTCATCTTCAGTTGTAATAAGAAATGCTCACACAGGATGACATTTATGATTAATAGTCTTAAATACAACTTTAATAAGAGGTATTATTCTATATGATGGCAGCTGTGGTGGTCAGTGCCATGGTCTTGTAATCCTGAGGTTGCAGGTTTGAGTCCAGGCTGCACCAGACAGAGCATCAGGCATTAAACAATTACCAAATCTTTCATATAAGTTCGCTCACGGTTGCGACCCCTGAAGAAAGGAGCAGCCGAAAATAACTTCTTCATTCTACCACTCTTATTTGTAATGCTGTGAGTACCGTATTTTTGGGCGAATAAGTCACAGTTTTCTGCATAGATTCGTCAGTCCTGCAACTTATATGCTGAAGCGACTTGTATACTTTTTTTCCATATTCATAACGCAATTTTTGACTTACACTTTAAATTTCGAAGAACTAAAACAGCAAGTCCTCCTGTGCACACTCATTTCAGTCAGCTGGTGCAGGTGGAGGAACGCTGAAGAGCTAGTGGCTCCGGCCGCGATGGATAGATGGGTGGATGGATGGATGGATGGATGGATGGATGGATGGATGGATGGATGG